TATGGTTGTTTTGTAAATGCATAAAGATTTGAGATTTTGTAATTTGTTTTTATATTAACCAAAAAACCCCCCCAATAAGACAGATCCTCTCCTTCCTGATTGGAGCTGTGTATTTTTTGTTTGTGGTGGAGTTCTGTATTACTGTAGCCAGACACGAACCCCATCTTGGTTTCCGCCCCCCCCAGAGAGCAGGAGAAAGGCAGTCAGTCTTTGATGCCCTGGGAACACAGGTGTGCTGCCTGTCCCTGACTCTACCATAAACAGAAACCAGACAGTAAATGGGCTAGCTGACGACCCGGGGCCTCCCGCCGTCCTGATGGCTAGTACCAGTAATTGACATGCCTGCACTGTCCCAGGAGAGGAATCTTCGCCCATCACATACCAGAGGTGCCCATTGCCTGCATTTTCCCAGGTGTAAATTAAGCTTTGCACCCTTTGTGGGAAACTTGGTGTTCAAAGCCATTTTTCCTAATTGGTCACTTGAGACCAGGAAGAAGCCTACGTGACCCAAGGGGTATAAAGAGGGGTTTAGTAGCCCACCCCATTTGAGCTCCAATCATCTATACCTGCTGGCAGGTATTGATTGTCTCCTGAGGTCTGTGGGACGCCCAACCTCGCCCTACTTCTTCCCGAGGGATTGAGAGAAAGACGCTGGCCACGCCAAGTCTGGAACGCAGAGGTGAGAATTATACCTGCTATGTTTCTATTTTGCATGCATTTAATAAGAGCTCAGAGAACCAAAAGGGTTTCATGGTACCTGTAAGTGACTTATTAGTGTAATTTCTGTCCTGTCCTTTGTAGTGTCTGTGTTATCTGTAACACAGCAGTAGCATTTAACAACTAAGTTTACCCTGTAACAATAAAATAGTAACTGTTTAAGCTTTAACCTGACTCCTTCAGTTGCTGTAACAGAACCAAGCACAATTTAAAAGAACTTCAGCCAGTCATAAGGGACTCACTGCCCTGACCGTCGGCTGACAATTACATATTCAATAGTACTTCGGTGCATGCCAGTGGGAATTCCACACACTGAATGAGTGCAGACTATACACATGATGTGCTGTGCATATAATATGCCAGATGATAAATGAGAGAGGATTCATAATATGGATAGGAGAGGTCAGTTTTGCCCTTTGTTACTTAAGTGACACAATCAACTACTTTCTGTACTATTTTTTCCCCATGCTTTAACAACATAAACAAATTTTCCAACCCCAAATGTTCAAAAATTATGAACCAGCTCCTCCCCAAATAAATTGGCTTAAAATGATGAAATGTAAAAAAATATATACTCTGGATGCTTTTTATCACTTTCTAGATTTTTAGCCTCTTTCTGAAACCCTAAAGACAAGAAACATTGCTTTAAAAAAAAAAGATTTTTGTGTAATCACATGAATCCAGGTGCTGGGCCTTAAAAACTGCTACATACTACAAGAATCATGGGTGGCATGCAAGGGAGGTTGGGGGAAGCTAAGTTTCCCTAAACCATGCACTGAGAGAAGTGAATAAGAGGCCCCAAGAAAAAAATCTCCCACCAGCGTGGCTCTGGGGCTGGAGGAGCTCTTGTTCCCTGCACTGGCCCTGGGGCTGCAGCAGGGTCACCTTGTTTTTCTGGTTGCTGGGCCACATGAGAGAGGGAGGGGAATGAGAGAGATGGGGCGGGGTCTTGGGGGAAAAGAGGCAGACTGTGGAAGGAACACGGTTGAGGCTGCGGGGGAAGAGGTGGAACATAGATGGGGCTGTGGATGGAACGAGGGAAGGACCATAGGTGGAAAGGGTGAAAAGGAGGAGGAACTCTGTTTTGGAATGCTGGCCAAGGTCAAGAGCCCAGTTCCAGTTCCAGCCAAGGAGCAGTTATTCCTTCTGTGACCCCGACCAAGCTCTCTGCCTCTCCCCACAGTCCAGAGCCATGGGGGAGGGTCAAGAGCAGCGAGCAGGGGCTGTGGGGCCATTCAACCCTCCCAGATCTGAAATCATCTGACACAGCTCTGACTAGCTGGGGAGACATTCTGAAAGGACTAGTTCCCTACAGAAACAACTGACAAAGAAAAAGGCTTTGCATTCAAAGTGCATGTAATCAAAGGACCAAAGACCAACGACCTTCTCAGCTGCTTTAAAGGCAGGCATAATGGGATTAGTGAGAAAGGTAGAAGAACTCAATGGAGTAGTTGATGAGAGTGTACTTTTTAAAGGAGATACAGTGAAATAACCATAAGAGGCAAAGCTGAACCTACAAAATAACAACATCGCTATCAGACAGGCCAGGGAGGAGACTAGATGTAAATTAATGCAGATTCAGAGGACATCATTACCTGGTCCTCATGGATGAATTTTCCAGTGTTAGAGAAATAATGTATTTGAAAGACATAATATGACATAGTGTTATTGAAAAACTGAAGTGCACTTTACTCATTTTGGTATTCTAGCACAGCTAGTGGTGGACAATGGGCTACAATTTACCTCAGCATAATTTAAGTAATTGCAACAGAAATATGGTTTTGATTGTATTACTAGCAGCCCACATTACTCACAAGGAAATGGAGAGTCTTAGAGAGCTGTTCAGACAGCAGGAAGATTTGTTTGTTACTCTTCTGAGTTACAGATCAGGATCTGTAACAGCTACTGAGTATAGCCCAATTCAGCTCCTGATGAGAAGACATCTCAGAACTACTATGATGACTTTGGGAAGAACTTATCTTCCAAGTGGCCAGTCTTAAAGAGAGAAGCCAAATCAAACAAAAGGCAAAAAGAGCCTATAAATTTGTCTACAATAGACACAACTCAGAGAGGGTCTGTGTGTAGAATCTTCCGTCAAAATTAGATGGAACAAAAGAATGGAGAAATCCAGCTATTGCAAAGAAAAAACAAACAAACGTATGCCCAAATCATACGTTATTGAGACCAACATAAATAGTGCACAAAAAACTGTTGATATCTATAGTTTGTTGTGGAGAGAGAACTAGCCACAGAGGGAACTCTGTAGATAGCAGATACGGAACAAGTTAAAAAAACAAAGATGCAAAAATTTTAAACCAGCCATGTCTGGTTGTAACTAATGGATACCCAGACGATCATGTTGTTACCTGTTTAGGTTGTGTAATCAGAAAACCAGTATGATGCGGAGACATGGGTAGAGACTGATCCACACTGAACTTTAAAATGGTGTGCTAGTGAACATTTTATAAATGGTAGGAATATAGAACTTAAACAGGGAAACATAATGCACTATAAAACTACATTACAAAGTTTCACCACTAGATGGTACTTTGTGTGTAACTTTACGTGAACTTGTGATAAGCCAGAGACAAGCAATGCATTGATAAGATCTCATGGCAGACACATCTGATGTAGCTCTCTCTCTCTCTCTCTCTCTCTCCAGTAAGCTCTGTAGCCTGTCCACATCTGTCACAAGTCTGAACTATTAGCATAGGCATGGAACCTACTGTTTACAAGACAAACATGACAGAAAGGATGGCCACATCTACTAGCTATTTGAGAAGCTTTTCAGGGTTCCGGGCATAATTGTACAGCCCATGCTGCCACTCTTCCTACAATGCCTTCAGTACCATTGTTATTGGAATGAGTTAGATCAGAATTATCTCAAGTATGTGTCCGACACACCTCTGATTGCCATGTGTGTCATTTACCCAAAGATCCCTTTATACCACTCTGATGGCATAAATAAGCATTACAGTTGGTGTGAATGGCATTTAGACTTTCCTGAATTGTGTAAAGAGGCCTACTGTATATAATTGCACATTGAATACATTAATGTAAATAATCTTTTCAGTGTGATATTTGAGCAGTACAGCTAGGTTTCTGAGCTGTCCACTGTGTAGGGCATACACATCCTGCTGCATAGTTTACTAACCTTGAGGGTTTTATTGTGTCTCTGGAGCTCCCGGCAGAGACTCTCCAGTTTGCTGCGGGCAAGGATGGCTCTGCTGTGCTCACTCTGCAGCTGGTCCTTCTCTTTGATGATCTGTGCTTGTCTCTTTTGTAGATACTTCAGCTTTTTCTGCTCAGCACGATGTTCTTCCAGCTAAAGACATAGGGAGTAATATGCAGATAAACATAAAAATGGAGTGTATTGAGAGGAAGAAAGAGAAAATGAGCTTTTTGGGTTGCAACCAAGTTACTACACTTTCATAACATTTTGGAAAGTGTTTGTATTTAGATCAGCATCAACTGAAGAGGGGAAAAGGACTAGCAGCAGAATCACAATCTCAACAGTAGCTCAGTGAGGGTATGTCTCTGGTGACAGAGGCATGTAGATTAGGCTACCCAGCATAGGAAAATGGCTGCCGCGCTGAGCCAATCAGCTGTTTGTCGGCTCAGCGCACTAGTCTGGATGCTCCGTGGTCAATATCAAAGGCATTTGTCGACTGCCCTGGTATGCCTTGTGGGATAAGGTTTATCAGGGTGGTCGACAAATGCCTTTGATGTCGACTGCAGAGTGTCCAGACTACCGCGCTGTGTCGACAAACAGCTGATCGACAGCCATTTAAATTTAAATGAAGTGGCGATTATTTAAATCGCCGCTTCATTTTCCTATGCCAGGTAGCCTAATCTACATGCCTCTGTTGCTAGAGGCATGTAGTCTAGACATACCCTGAATGATGTATATGTGTTGTGTCCCAGGGTATGTCTATACTGCAGCATTATTTTGGAATAACTAATGTTATTCCAAAATAACATAGTGCTCATTGACACTACAAGCCTTTACTTCAAAATAATGTTGAGATGGAGGACTTCTTACTCCAACTCATGGTAAACCTCATTTCACAAGGAGAAAGGGAAGTTGAAGGAAGAGTGTTCTTCCTTCTACTTCTTGCTGTGTAGAAAGCGCCAAAATCTGAGCTATTTTGACTTACGCTACACAATTGATGTAACTGAAGTTGAATAGCTTAATTTGACTTTAGCCCTGCTGCGTAGACGTATCCCAGTTATGAGGTAACTTGGTGCTTACTCATTTTATAGTTTGGTTTTGCAAGAAGTAGCCAGATTGTTCAGACAAACTTTGTTCAATTACCAATGCCAAAAATAAATAAAACTCAAACATTTTTTATATACCCAAGCAGCTATTGAAGGAAAACCCCTGGTAATCAAAACTGTAGCTTTTCAACAGGTGTATGTTGTCACAAACACTGCATTTTTTAGTGGTAAAAATTCCGGTAGGTTACAGAAAAAGAATACTCTTGGCTGATGCAGATACTTGGTGTGAACCCCAAATATTTGCCACAACCACATTTTAATAGTGTATTTGGGTATAGAATGACTATATGTTTGATAATGATTGGAGCTGTTCATTACTGTAACAGGATAACTGGCCCCTCTAAGGGTATGTCTACACTAGCTCCCTAGTTCGAACTAGGGTGGCTAATGTAGGCATTCGAACTTGCAAATGAAGCCCGGGATTTAAATATCCTGGGGTTCATTTGCATGTTCCCGGGTGGGTGCCATTTTTAAATCCCCTTAGTTCGAACTGACTGCCCATGGCTACACACGGCAGTCAGAAGTTAATCTGAATTAAGTCCTAGTTCGGATTAAGTTCGGACTGCCGCGTGTAGCTGTGGGCAGTCAGTTCGAACTAAGGGGATTTAAAAATGGCACCCACCCGGGAACATGCAAATGAACCCCAGGATATTTAAATCCCGGGCTTCATTTGCAAGTTCGAATGCCTACATTAGCCACCCTAGTTTGAACTAGGGGGCTAGTGTAGACATACCCTGAGAGAGGGGGTCCGGTGCACCTATGACTGCCCTGTTGTGTTAGGGGAAGTCACTGGGAACTTACAAAAGAGGATGCTATGGGAGAGCGAAGCTGTAGAAAGTTTGCAGGTGAGTCTGAGATTTCAGAGACTAAATGACTATAGCCAGGTACTGCTGAAAGTGGCTTTTCAAAAACAGGGAAGAACCAGGGAGGCTTGGATCCTCTTCTGGGAAAAAGGGAAGAAGTCCCAGGACTGAGTTTTGTTCTGAGTTCTTGTGACCCCTAGATATTCCTGTATTTATACCCTACACACTACTGCAATAACATGTATATGTTAAATTGTGAATAATAACATTGTATATGAAAAATTATGAATTCCCTCTGTATGATGTTACTAAAATGTATTTGAAATAGTCAAGTCTGGGGATTGGGTAGAGAGGGTTCTTTTTCCAGATAAAGAAAATGCCAGTGCTCTGATCCAGACACAATCACAGACAATTGGGAATTACAGTCCAGTGATCAGTCATTGGTATAATGGAACCTGCATGGCAGATCGCTTCGCACTGTAAGGGAACCAGCAGGGATGAAATCAGCAGGGAAATTTCTCCATCAGACTCCCTGGCATCTTTCCACATAACTGAGGTACTGGATTTTGAGATGGATACATTTCAAAAGTTTGCTGGAGCGTTAAAGAGATAGGCAAGGAAACCCAAGTTATCTTTCACCCTAGAAAACAAAGGAACCCAGACCTTTGGATTTTTAATGGGGTGATCAGCCATCTTGCTGGAAGGAGCATGATAAAAGTCTCACCTTGAACCAAGACTATAGTTTTGTTAAGAAATAGTCATTAGAAAGTGTTTTACACTTTTATTTGCTTGTAACCATTTCAGGCTTTATCCCTTAGGTATGAACTCACTTAAACCCTGTCTCCTTTTGATTAAATACACTTGTTTTACTTTTATTCTAAATCAATCCAGTGCTGTGTTGGAATTGAAGGGATTGTTAATACATGTTTGACTCTTTACAGGAAAAACAGACCTTATCACTCCACAGAGTGGTTCAGGAGAGGGCTGGACATTTCAGGACAGAGGGTTTTGGGGAAATTTGGGAATAACATTGGGGCCATCTGGCTAGTGGTAACTGAGACTAGTGGAGGCCACAGTGTGGTTGTGGTATGACAAGCAGGCAGCTGGCCCCAGAGTGGCTGAACCAGGGCTACTTAATATAGAGAGACTTGGTGATTGTATGCGAGGTTGGTTGGTGCATCCAGACAGAGGGCACTCAGGTTTACAGGAAAAACAGTCACATCATCTCTCACTGATTTGAATTATACCCCAGAATGTCCCAATAGAAGTGAACATCATGTGGTACACAGCTTTCAGTGCTACATTCACAGGAAAAATAATCACAGTGGGAAAGAATGTGTCTGTGAGCCACCAATAGAAGTAGCACAGTCCCTAGACGACTTAATGGAACCCTAGTCTCCATGGGGTCAAAACATCTGGTGGTGGTAGGGAGGATGGTGGTGGCTATATTTTGTTTTTCTGGTGGGCATTGTGCAGTAGACAGGGACATCAGTGAATGCCATTCTTACGGTGAAAAGGTTTTGCCCATGAACAATTTTCTATGTAAGAAAATTAGATCCGAAAAGGCAATGTTTAAGGACTATGATCTGGTGGAGTTTAATTAAGGTTTCCAGGAATAAGGGAAAGCAAGGCAGAGTGATGTAGATACACTTTCTGTCCATAAGGGGTTCTTGGGAGGCCCCTGATTATGTTACAATTAGCAGGCATTGTACATCCTACAATAAAGCAAAACATTCAAAGTGTGCACTGTATTGGTCAGTTCCATAAGTTACCTGTTACTATTTATATTCAAATTGGTTCAGGGAGCCAGTTGTTGTAGAGAAATGCTTTCTTTAATCTTAGAGGAAGTCCACATGTTGATATTTGAGTTCATCATACCTGTGTATGTACCGAACTTTGGTTTTGTAACCTTGGATATAAAATTTGTATATTCTGAGCATTGAGTGTCCCCTAGAAAATTATGTGTTTTTCTTAGAAGGAGCATGTTGGTGCTTTTCTTCTTTTATAGCACAGAAAAACAGATAGAATCATAGAATCCTAGGGCTAGAAGAGACCTCAGGAGGCCATCGAGTCCAGCCCCCTGCCCAAAGCAGGAGCAATCCCAACTAAACCACCCCAGCCAGGGCTTTGTCAAGCTGAGACTTAAATTCCTCTAGGGATGGAGATTCCATCACCTCCCTAGGGGTACGTCTACACTAGCTCCCTAGTTCGAACTAGGGAGGCTAATGAGGGCGACTGAAATTGCTAATGAAGCGCGGGATTTAAATATCCCATGCTTGATTAGCATATTTCCAGCTGGTCGCCATTTTGGAAACTGACTAGTCCGAAGTAACTGCCCGCGTCTATACGCGGCAGAGATGCGGGATTCCGAGATAAACCCCTTAGTTTGAATTAACTGTTAAACCTCATTTCACGAGGAGTAACAGTTAATTCGAACTAAGGGGTTTATTTAAATCCCATGCTTCATTAGCAATTTCGGTCTCCCGCATTAGCCTCCCTAGTTCGAACTAGGGGGCTAGTGTAGATGTACCCTAGGTAACTCATTCCAGTACTTCCCCACCCTCCTAGGGAAATAGTTTTTCCTGAGATCCACCCTAGACCTCCCCTTCTGTAACTTGAGACCATTGCTCCTTGTTCTGCCATCTGTCACTACTGAGAACAGCCTCTCTCCATCCTCTTTGGAACCTCCCTTCAGGAAGTTGAAGGCTGCTATCAAATCCCCCCTCACCCTTCTTTTCTGCAGACTAAATAAGCCCAAATCCCTCAGCCTCTCCCCCTAGGTCATGTGCTCCTGACCCCAATCATTTTGGTTGCGCTCCGCTGGACCCTCTCTAATGCGTCCACATTCTTTCTGTAGTGGGGGGCCCAGAACTGGACACAATACTCCAGATGTGGCCTCACCAGTGCTAAATAAAGGGGAATAATCACTTCTCTAGATCGGCTGGCAATGCTCCTCCTAATGAAATCTAATATTCCATTCACCTTCTTGGCTACAAGGGCACATTGTTGACTCATATCCAGCTTCTCATCCACAGTAATCCACAGTTGTTTTCTGCCGAATTGCAGCTTAGCCAGTCGGTCCCCAGGCTGTCACAGTGCTTGGGATTCTTCCGTCCCAAGTGCCGGACTCTACACTTGTCCTTGTTGAACCTCATCAGATTTCTTTTGGCCCAATCCTCTAATCTGTCTATGTCACTCTGGACCCTATCCCTGCCCTCCAACGTATCTCCCTCTCCCCCTAGCT